GGATCACACGCCCCGGCACGGGAGTGACAGAGTTCCCTGGATACGGAACTCAGTCTATGGCATGAATGGCACAAGGCTGGCGTTTACTTGGAAGAAAACTCAGTGGTTAAGATGCTTCACAGAAAGCCAATCGAGATCACCAGGCAATCAGGACTTGGCTCAGTGGCCATGTCCTGACCCTGCTTCCCTAGCCAGGGAGCTGCCGCTTACATATAAGCCACCTTATAACTGCAGATGTATCCCATCCTGCGACTGCGACAGATGGATGATACAGAACAAAAGCTCAGGGGAAGCCCCAGGACCCGACGCAAACCCTTAGCCAGCACCCCTCTATACTTGAAAACCTTTGCTCCCTTGTGGCCAAACTTATCATAAATCAAAAACAACGCAGTGAATGCACCCATCGGTTCGCAGACTAACTCTGGGAGATAAAAGTAAGTCTCTGCTTCCAAAAATCCATTTCTCTCAGTTAGAATTATTTTGACATCAATTTTATGAAATTAATATGCTGTGGGAGACGGTATACAATTTTTTTTGCCAGTTTCCAAATTAAAAATAGTTGCAGTGACTTTTATCTTTTTATTTTGGAAAACCAGGGACAAAAAGATACTCCTTGCCAGCAAGGGAGGCGCCAAGTTTCTGTCAACTGCTTAGTTATAATTTTCGGAGTTAGAATTAAATTTTATGTCCTGAAAAGTGCAGTTTTCAGAAAGAGGAATGATGTCAGCGGCTTGCAGGCAACATCGAACCAGGTACCTAATGATGATATTCCCAGCTTCTCCATGTGCTGAACTGAGTGCTGAGATGTTCGTACTGGACGCAATCCCCTGTCCGAAGGCGTCCGGCCAGAAGCAAAGGAGCTGCATGAACGCCAGGCCTCCCCTTCACGTTCACCTTGAGCTATTGTGAAATGCCTAGACATGCCTGGTACCACTGTGCTACCCGGACTTCCTGGTCTAACAATGAACACAACTCAGAAAACCCACAGCTACCCTGAAAAACTACCGTGCCAGGTACATTGCTATTCCACATCAGTGGTCTTCTGTTCTGGCTGCATGTTAGAATCATTTGAGGATTGTAGAGAAAATACCACTGTCTAAAGCCTATCCCAGACCAATTAAACAATAATTTCTAGGCTCTGGCATTTTACAAAAACTCCCCAGGTAAGTGTAACCTGTGGTAGAAGTTAAGAACTGCTGCAGGCTGTGGGAGAGAGCAGGAATGCAAGCTTCCCATGGTTGGCTGAGCACCTCTCCCAGCACACTCCTAGGCATGTGACCCCTGGATCGGCTGCCCTGTCCTATAATGATCTAAGTCTTCTGGCTTCAGAAAGATCTATATAAACATGCAAAGCCCTAGCCTTATGAGGCTTGCCTCTAGGTCAAAACTCTAAGCAAAGTCTATAGAATTATTTTTCCCCATCAACTCACACAGTAGCAAGTACAGCTCCCTGTTCTTCCCTGAATCTGGCAGTGAGCATCTGTGATTATGACCCTGGGATGCCCGGATGTAGGGCATCATAGGGATGATGGGATGCCTAGATGTAGGCAATATTATTCACCTTTGATGATCCAGGGATGTGAACCTTGGGCTCAGAGGGAGAAAGCTGATCACCTGGACGAGGGATTTTTTTTTTCTGGTACACAAGGAAACGTCCAAATGGGAGAAAGGGTGAGAGGAGGATTTTGAAACCATTTAAAATAGCATTCTACCCAGTAAGTTTGAATCTCCTTGAGTTCTAATTTGGTCTTCTTTATGCTTAGGTTTAAATTAAGGGAACAAGAAAGATTCCCTTTAATACCCAGGCAAGAAAGCATCAAGTGTTTCCTAGCTCTCTTTTGGAAACAAGTAGGTGTCTACACACTTGAATTTGTCACTGTGTTCCAGTTTTGCAGACAGTGATCTGGCTGGCACAAAGGCTCCCAGACTCGGTGCCATAAACAGCTGCGCCCTATCGTACCAGCAGGTGCACGGACAGAGCCCAGTGAAAAAAAATTCTGTGCAAGAACAATGGCGCCGTTATGACACCGAGGGGCAGGGCCTGAGGCTAGCCACCAGCTCACTCCATTTGAGGACAAGAAGAGCTAGAAACTCAGCCACAGCTCCCTGGGATTGGGTCTTTTTGTCCCTGAATCATGTCCACCGAGAGGCCAGGTAGGGCCCCGCAGTGAAAGCAGCTATCAATTGTAGAGGCGGACCAACCAAATGGTTAGTGGGGAAGGAAGAAAAAAAAATTCCTGCAGAAAATGTATTCCTTCCTTTTAACATATCTTCTCCTCCTGTGGGCTGTACTGCCACAGTCACCAAGTTTACATTTACATCCAAATATGCACACACAAAAAAAATTACTGATGCATCTCACTCCCCGGTGACTTTATAACAGGTTGCTAGGTAACAGTGCATACAAGTCAGGTTTCAGGACCTCTAGTAAGCCACCATAAAATAGCGGCATGGGCCTTTTGCATAAATAGTGTGCATTTGTTATCTGTTTTCTTATGCCAATTGATCAGTCAGTAAATACTCCCACTGCCAAACCATCAACAACTCCCCATCAATAGCTAGCTGAAAAAAAGGATCACAATAGAAGGCTTGGGGTGCACGGTGCTTCACCCCAACCTATGCACTGGCCTCTTTTCCCTTGTCTGTTATTTGCAGAGCTGGCTCTAAGCAGAGGCGAGAAAGCCTTCTCCTGTGCTCCCTGAGCTTGGGGCTGCTGCTAATTACAGCCTCAGCCTGCCAGGGAGCACTCAGAGCTGAGCCCAGCAGGAGTCGCATATCATACACCAGTGTTTCAAGGGAAGATCAAACTGCCTGCCTCCCTCCTCATCGCCCTCTGGGGTTTAAAAAAAAAAAAAAAAAAAAATCCCTGGGATTACTGGAGTGAAGTGCACAACACCTTAGTAAGAGCTATTCCCCCACTTAGTTTGCCCTCTCTGCTGAGTAAGGACATGTCCACCATTCTGAGCTAAGCCAAGTGAACCTGTCATTTGTTTCTTTTCTAGGTTGCACAGCCCCAGGGAGAGAGTCCCTTTTGCCATCACACTGGTAGGCAAGGCCATCCCGGAAGAAGCAGTGCTCCCTGTGCCTGACATCTTGAAGGATCAGGGCAGCAAAGGGGGAAGGACTCCTGTGTAGTCTATATTAGAAAAAAAAAAATGCTTCTAAAACGCAAAGTCTTGAACATATTTTCCCTGAGTTGGAGGCAGTGGGGCAGAGAACTCTTAGCTGCTCATCAAAGCCTTGGTCAGGTGTTGTCAAATCCTGGGACCTGGCCACTGGCAGAGTAGGGGTGCCTCACGCCTGTGCACTGGTATGTTTCTCAGTTGCTTCCCTTCTCCTTTCTTCTTCCTTTCATTTCTGGGATGCCTCATTTTCCATCCAAGAGGCCAAGATTTGGGGTGAAGCGGCATTCCAAGAGACCCCTATTGTCATGGAGCAATGAAACTTCAGAGTGAAGCTGAGCCTCTCATTCACCTGGCAATGACATTTAGTGAAATGCGACTCACAGCCCATTTAAAGGAAGGCAGTGACCAATTATTCTCCACTTAAAGGGTATTGTCAATCTCCAAAGAGCTGAAATGGCATTTGGAAACCATCCTGGGGACTGCCACCTTCAACAGCGAGACAGAACCAGTTCTCCACCGACCTTTCCCCACCCTCTACAACTCCTGTAAAATTAAAACCATACTTTTAAAATTGTAATGAGGAGCAGCACAGTCCCATAACACATCTTATCTTTCCGAAAAAGTCAGAAAAAAACATCTGACAACTCTCAGCCTTGTTAAACATCACTACTTAATCAAAAGCATTAGGAAAAAAAAATGACCCCAAAGATATATTATCTGGTGGTGAGGGAAAGTGATGTTAATTAGTAAGAATGCATTTTTTATAATTTACATATCATCTTATTTCCAAAGGGGATTAGGGAAGTTAGAAAAGAATGTTTAGAGATGCTTTAAAAAAATTTCCTTTCACATGAGATACTCAGTCAAATTCAGCAAAGGTAAAATGGCCACCAGGAGCTATGGATTTATTATTAAAAGAGTATAGTTTGGAAAGATGCTAAAGTTCTCAGGATGAATGGTGGCAACGGCTGTACAGCAAGCCAAAACACCATTGAGCTGTACACCTAAAAATGGTTAAAATGGTAAATTTTATGTTCAGTATAATTGCAACAATAAATAAACTACACACACACATACACACATACACACACACACACACACACACAATCCTGGAAAAAAAAAAAAAAAACTCATGAAGACAATCTATCATTTGCTTAAATTTTAAACATCTGTAGTTCCTCATGGCAATCTTAATCTATACTATGTCTCTTCAAAATAGTTCAGATTGGGACAGTAAAGAATTTCAATATGGGCTGGCCAAATAGCTCAGTGGATTAAAGCACCTGCAAGCAGGGGCCAGGAGTTCAATCCCCAGGCCTGCAGTGCGGGCCCCTTCCCCAGGGCATACTGAGAAGGCAATTGAGACTGGGCGTGGTGGTGCACACCTGTAATTAGAACTCTTGGGAGGCTGTAAACAAGCAAATCACTAGAGTCTGATCTAGTAGTGAGACCCTGAAAACCCTGTACACCCTTCCCTAAAATACAAAAAGAAAAAAAAAATTCAATAGTGTCAATAGGAATTTCATACATACAAATATTTTGGAGAAACCAGTGCAGAAGAGACAAGCTAAAATGGCCCGAACATCCCCCAAAGCAGCTGGCCCATACCTGGCTCAGACCTATGACCTTTAACCCCCACAGCTGGAAGGGGGTGGTATCAACAATCTCCATTGTTTTGAGGCCCAAGCCAAAGCAAGGCCTACTTCTAAAGGATGGCTGAGAGAAAAAGAGAGGAGAAACAACAAAAGTTCAAGGTGTTCAAATTAAGGGGACCTTGAAGGCTTCTAGTCCCACCAGTTTATTTTACAGATGAAAACAGTGGTAGAGAAAAGGAGAAAGAAGGAGGGAGAGAGACGTACAACCCTGTTCAAGTACCTGACAGCTTCATGAGAAAATCAGACGCCATCTTAACAGAGATGTCCTGGCTGAACAAAGCGGCCGCACTGCTGGCCACATATTCGGAGGGGTCTTTCAGCTTTGTGTGGTTGGCGGGCCTGTCGGCAGCGTTCAGGGTAAAGGAGGTGGGCAGGCCGTTATCTTCCTTGGGTTCCTCCTTCACCAGCAAAGGCGAGACGCCAGCCCCACCCTGGCTAGTCCTCTCTGGAGTGTTAGACGTCATCACGGTCCCCACTAGCTCTGTCCCTCCTCCTTCCCTTTGCTGCCCCAGGCAGCCACTGTCACTGAGGTGGGGAGATCCCTTGACATCTGGGTCTGGGATCTCCTCCTTCACCTTGGCTTCTGTCCTCAGGAAGTGCTGATGGCAACGCATGTGGAGTTTCAGGCTGAAGTGGCGTGAGGAAGTGAAAGGGCAGAGCTGGCACTGGAAGGTCTCTCCCCGGTCCTGATGCTGATGAACCTGTGAAGCAAAGAGAAAAGTGAGCAAGCCGCTGTGCAGGCATGGAAAGTGCCTCGCCACCGTCCAGCCGAGCTACTCATTAGCAACCTCCTTGCTGTGCAAGGGTCCAGGAAGAAAACCATCAGAGGGACACAGCATTTGTGTGCTCCAGAGAATGGGGCCAATCCCAGCACATGAAGTGGGTCCACAGCGACTGAAGACACTGTCTGCCAAAGGATGCTGCATTGAGCAGCATCCTCCTGAGAGTCTAGAGAGACAATCTCAGTGGATGACTTCTGAGGAAAGACCATAAGCCCAGCACGGATACAAAATCACCAGTTAGGGGTCAAAAAAGGGAACCAGTGAAATAATTCTCGCAATACTAATACTTTGCATATACCCAGTTATGGTCACACAGAGAATTAGTTGTTTTGCAAGCATAAAGTCAATTTTCAAAATCATGCACTCAGGTAATTAAGGACTTAAGAGAATAATGCCTCCAGGGTATCCCTGGGGAAATTGGGTCCGTAGAAGAAGCGCTTGGAACAGAAGTACACAGAAAGAAAGCAGAGCGGGAGAAAAAACAAGGTCTGACCCTCACCAAGCATTCTGGGTAAGGGGAAATCAATTTTTCCAACAGTGGATCTAATAGCATGCTCCAGATTCTCATGTCTGCAGTGAAGAATGCAGACTTTTAAATCCAGTTCCCCTCTCGCATGCACATGATATCTGCAAAAATTGCAAGCAATTTTTTTCTCCCTGTCACTACCAAATTTAGTGCTTGAAAAAGTGAGGAAATCGCTACACTGGCCCACGCCAGGCTAGAGCTGGCAGGTGCTCATAAGCTCGTAACTTCCCCATTCATCTCTGCCAATGTAATCCAGCACTGACCCACTCCACCCTGCTATTTCAGGACTGGCCCTCCCTGGTGTTGAAACTGCCAATTGTGTAGATTTGGGCCAAATGATTTTGGAAGTTATGTGATTTGGACAAAGAAGAATGTGAGTGATTGGAATTCAAAACCAAAACAAAACTGACCCTTCGTCGGTCAGAGGTGACCTAAGCAGGATTTGAACCCGGGTCTCAGTGAGGTTAAAGACTCATTTGTCTATCCACACAACACCACCTGGCCCCTTTGCATGGATCTCCCTTCCAAGAGAGCAAGTTTTACTACAGCTGTTTATGCCTTCTGAATACAGTCCAAAAGCATTCTTCACCAGCCAAAACATACTTTTAAATAATGTTAAGTGACCAACAAAAGCAAAGAAATTAAAAGTTAATGGTGAGATCCTGTTGCTACAGCACCCCACTGTGGCTTTCTGAAAAAAAACAACATGAGTTTCTGGATCCCCCCAAAACCTGAGTTTATGAACACGAGGAACCATAAAGACTTAAACTCTGTTGAGGCAAATTCTTGCTCACTAAAAGGCATTCCCTCTGCCTGAATGGCAAAAGACCGGGCTCATCTGCGGCTACCAGCACGGCCTCCTTCTTTCCGGATCTTCCATTTGCTTTCTCACAGAACAGAGAAGATTTGCCACCACCTCCTCCACCCACGTCACACAGCAGCAGGGACCCCGGGACCTCCAGCCACTGCCCGGAAGGCCAGACAGGTGCTGCCACAGGCGTGCCCCACAGACAGGTGGTAAGGGCCATGAGGCGGGGAGCTTCTGTGTCCCCGAGCACGGGGCACTGGGGGCAGATTCCATTTCAGGAGTGCCCTGGAGAGGGCAGAACTGGATTCTCCTAATCCAAGAAGAGGAGGTCCACAATTGGCTTCCGGAGGAAGGGAAGAGACAGAGCCCCAGCCCAAGTTCCAGAACAAAAAGGAAGCCTTGTATTGAAAGGAGAGCAGGTACAGGTATGCGTGGGGCTTCTCTGCACCAGACCCCGACCTTGTTATATTTAGTTCCAGGAAAATCAGTGCAAGTTGAAAGTTTAAAAAAAAAGTGATGGGTAGACTTTTGCACTTACACTTGTATTTGAACTTTACCTTCTCACAGCGAGTACACATCACATGTGGCCTGCAAGGGACGTACTGGCTCTGTCCGCAGTGTCAGTTTCTCCCCTTCTCTCCTGACAAAAGGGCAATTTTCTGTGATAATATTTTCTTTAGCCTAAAGCTTACTTTACTTATTTATTCTTTGGAGGAACCAGGGATTGAACTCAGGTCCTTGTGCTTGCCAGGCAAGCACTTATTCTACTGAGCTATCTCCCCAGCCCTAACGCTTGCTTTAAAGTCCCTCTTAATCTGCTGATAAACAATGCTTCCGGAGGCTAGTTATTGTGTCCAGATCCTATACTCACTTACCGCCTGGCCATTTACCCTCAACCACCTCTAGTAGGCGCTGTGGAGTCCTTTGGGCCATCTGGAGTAGACAGACACTTGAGCGAAGGCATTCCTAAGCTAAGAGAAACTCTTGGGAAGCCTCTGGTCCACCCCCTTAGGCTGACCTCGGCCTCAGGAGGGCTCACAGCTCTGCGGATGTGGGACCCAGGACGGGTTCCCTGCCTCTGCTTCAGCGTCTTGCCCTTACCTCACTAGGCTCCTTCATCTTAGCGGTCCTCCTCACGTTTTCTGTTCTAACTTATGAATTTCACGTTTAATTTCTGTATGTGCACTCAGCCAGGAAAGCTGTAAAAGACTTAATGGAAATCTACAAAAACCCCGAGGAAGCTGGAGGCACTTACAAACCCCCTTCTATAGCCGGTCATGAAAACATGTGCACAACATATTTTAGAGAAAAAGCAGGCTAACCAAAAAAATGTACAGTGCCCAATGCTAGCAGGAACACAGCACGTGCTGTACGGCTGGACAAGTGAAGCACAGTCCCACTTTTCTAAATAAATCCATACAGTTAACGCAGAAGGTTGTCTATCAGAAAGATAACGGCTATGCCTGGGTGATGGGATAGATGCTCAATTTGATATTCTATCAACATTTTAAAATTCTCACTGTTGGAATATTTCACAGAGAGGGAAAGCAATATAACTTATTTTAAAGCAGTTTCTTACACCACTATTATTTTAAAATGTAAACATTGATTGTATTCAGCTGGCACTGAGAAAATGATTACTGTATTGGGTACATTTACTGCAAGCTGCTTCTCTGTGTTGGGCACTGTAGTTAAGTGCTCTTAAAACATCATCTCATTTAAGTTTCCTGACAACCCCACGAGATAGATTCTGTGATTATTATCTCCATTAGCAGAAGTAAGTTTAGAGAGATTAAATGAGTCTTTCAAACTCTCACCTACATTATATAGAACTGAGATTTTTGCTGAGGTTTTTCTGAGCACATAGAGACTTTTGGTGTTTGACTAGACTGCTTTTACTTTGTAAGCAAAATTGATCTTAATTTTTACAATCTTACCCATATTTGTAATCTCAGGTGGGTATAAAAATGATATTATGCATAAGATCACAGCCATTGTATTTCTGTGTGAACTGTTTCACAAATTTTTGCAAAGTTAAATATATGTCTAATCAAAATAAAATCAGGATTCCTTTGAATTAAAAAAAAAAAAAAGGCTGACAACAAGGCATTGGAAGCAGAGAAAGGAAAGTACGCCTTTGACAAAATTAAACTTGCATGAGCCCTTTAAGCCACTTCCTTATCAAAAGCTCGAGTCATAGCTCAACAGGTTAGGACACTATGAGTTTGAATAAAGTAGTAATTTCACACAACTGCTTTATTGTACCGGTTATTGATTTGTTCTGAAAGCACTCTGAGACCCCACGACCTGCCAAGCCCGGCAGCTCTCATCTGCAGCACTGTCATGGCCGACTGTCTGTGTCATCAAGGCGCCCAACTCATCCCCCTGGAGTTTCAGGGTCAGTAGTCCCTGCTATTGAAAACCCAGCTTTTTTTTTTTCTCATGGGTTTATAAATAGGTTGTTTTAAGTGACCCTGAGCTGAAGCCAAGCGTACAAGGTGTCAGGCTAGATGCAAGTTTTCTGCTCGCTGAAGCTTTAAATTCACCAGACCTGATTTCTAAACACAGCTAAGGACACAGTAAGTAAACCAAGTTTTAGTTCTAAAGCCATTTCCTTTGAAGTCTTGGCCTAATGAAGTCCAACTCTGCAGGTCTGAAACTGTGACTTTTACTTTGGGAAGATGAGAGAGAGGATGAGGAGGGTTAAAGCAATAACCAAGTAAGATCAGAAAACTTCAACCAATCAGAACTCCTGGTTAAATGAATTCTGAAGACGAAGGGCAGGCTACTCCCAGGAGACAAAGGCAAATGAATGAAAACAAATTACATCATGGACTTAATTTTTTCCAATCTTCTAAGCTATCTCCTAAAGTCAACAGAGGTTCTGTCTGATCACACTCTTGGTTACAATTCTTTTTTTTTTCAGAACTGGGGATTGAACTCAGGCCCGTGCGCTTGCCAGGCAAGCGCTTATTCCATCTCCCCGGCCCTCTTGGTTACAATTTTGAACAGCAATTCTGAAAGACTGAATTGCCAGCTTTCAAAATAAGCAAATATTTAATTGTGTATGTGCCCTCTACTTTTTATACCAGCAAAGGAGACACTCACCAATAATCTCAGTGGACAAACTGTATTGTAAATACCAGTGAAATATACTTGGTAAGACGTACAATGGTGGTGATTACAATTAAGCCCATACCTCTAATCAGGCCTGCGGGCACACACTTGTAACCCCAGCACTCTGGGAGACTCCGACAGAAGGACTAAAACCTTAAGACCAGCCTGGACAGTTTAGTGACTTAGAAAGACTCTGTCTCAAGGTAAAAAAAATATAGAAAAGGGCTAAAGACATAGCTCAGGGCAAAGACCCTGAGCTCAATCTCCAGTACTATTAAAATACTGTAGCTACTTCGAAACATTTGGGTGTCAGTGTACTATAACTATCTCTTTCAATATTAATAACAATGCTCACCAACATTACTGTTCCCATTTAACAGAGGAGAAAAATTGAGTCTAAAGGTTAACTCGCTTAAGCCTGTACAGTAAGATTTAAATTCAGGTCTATCAAATTCAAAAACTTATGCCCTGTTCATTATGAGTTTGCTCTTTGAAGCTTAAAAAATACTCATGTGCTACTTACAAGGCCTGCCAAGATTTCTGTATTACGAAGGTTTTCCCCGAGTCATGTGAAGTGCAACATACACAGCCTGGGCAGTTTCTGACACACGTCACAGGCTCCATCTTTGCAGCATAAAACCATGGCAGCAAGGGCAGTGGCTCAGGACAGGAGCTGGTCCTCTAGCGCTCAGGCCCACCGCTCTTCCTGGAGATGGCTTTCCCTGCTTCTTGCTCTTGGCCAGCTCTTCCTCTCAGTCCCCCAGAAATACGTTGCCAAGCAAGGCCAGGTGAGACTGCTGCTCCGCTATTAGAAAGGATGAACCTATACCACATTTGTTACTGGGATGTTAAAGATCCTCTCTAGCATTAAGTTTCTGGTTTTAAAGTGGATATTAATAGCTTTAAAAGAGACCACTGGAGTGGGGCTATAGCTCAGCAGACAGCACCTGCCTGGCAAGCGCAAGGTCCTGAGTTTAATTCCAGTACCAAAACAATAAAACAAAATAAGAGACCCTTTCCAGTCGCACATGGTGGTGCATGCCTGTGGCCTCAGCACTCTGGGAACCGGAGGGAACTTGCAGGAAAAATGCAAGTGTAGGCCCAGCCTACAAGTGTAATTCAGCAACTTCATAAGATCCTGTCTGAATATAAAAGAAATTAAAAAGGGAAGTTGAGGATATAACTTAGTACAAAGACCCAAGATTCCTATTCTTAATATGTATATTAAGAATATTCTTAATATCTACATTAGGAATATTCTTAATATCTACATATTAGAGAAAGAGAGAGAGAGAGAATGAGCGAGAGGTCTCTCCACATCCTTCCTTTCTGCTGAATTCTGTTACGCCAAGCATGGCCATCCCCCTGCTCCCACCTCCTAGCTGGGACACAGCCTGCACCAGCCCGAGTGCAGGGGACCTGGCCACGTGGCCTGGCCCTGAGGTCTTCTGCTGGTGACTTACCTTCATGTGGGATTTGAGATTGTCCTTGCGAGCACACCGGAATGGACAGAGTGGACACTGATGACTTTTTAAACCTGTGTGAATCACCATGTGCCGCTTCCAGTAACTCTTCCTTTTTATAACCAAACCACATATTGGACACTGGAAAGGCTTTCCACTCTCCTCTTCTGAGGCTTGGAAGAAGGAGGGAAAAGAAAGGAACATTAAGGAAAACAAAAAGGCCCATCTCATTTGGCACTAATGCACACGCACTGCTACATAACGAGCACTAAAAATGATTTGGGTGTTTTCTTCAGTGAGTCCAAGATTGTATCCCTGGGGAAACTTTATGCCTGCTTCATGTAGCGACCCCTATTCATCGTGTCACCTGCACCAGGGTTCCACATGCTGGATTCCGATGCCACCCTGTCAGACTCTGCCCTCACTTGGGACACATCTGCCTGGAGGCTTCACCTGGCCCGACCTGGCTCAAGGCCCCAAAGGCCCCGTATGCAAGCACAGAGGCCTGCATTCAGGGCCTTTGTTTCTTGAAGGAAACTGACAGGCCTGAGTCCAGGTCTGAATTCCTGAGGCTTGGAAACAGGGGGAGAAATAAAGACAAATCAAATGGGCCAGAGAATAACATACTGCTCTGCACTGCAAACCAGCTATCATAACTTCGCACACTGAACTCCAATGGAGACAAATTTTAGGATCCCTACTGCTGATTTGTTTAGCTGTGGCTAGTGCAGATGGATGCCGCTGCCAATTTAGCCATCAGGGAGTCTTAAGGTCAGGGTTTTTTATCCTCTTATTTCTGTCTCTCTGGTTGCCACTAACAATGTGTGCTGCCTTCCTCTGTTCCAGACTGGGCCTCGCTGCCTGCTTTGCAAAGAGCCATGCCACACCACCACAGATGCTTCCATTTTTCAGGAAAGCAAATAAGCCAACTCCCCTCTCCAAGTAAAGCTCAGACGGTTCTCCCGGGCACCACCCTCAGAGTGAAGCGTCTCTGCCGTCACAGAGTATCCCTGAACTTCTGTCTATGAAGCAGCAGTAGCCTTCGGCTGCAAGGAATAAAATCTGGTTGAGCCGACTACTCGGCATCCCTTTCTTAATCATGAGGAATCAGAAATAATTCCAAATCCATTAAAGAAAAAAATATATCAAGTCATTTTTTTAAAAAAGTTATAGAGCTAAACGGAACTTAACAAAAAAAGGGGATACAGATGAATGTCCATTTTGTGTCTGTGTATTCAAAGTGGTTAGGATAGATATACAGTTACATTCTCTTAATGAATAGAGGATTTGTTCTAATGGTGTTTGTAAATAGGATATCATGTCCACATCTTGTACTGTAATTAACCACTAGGAAGAATGTATGCAGTGTGTTAATTATTGAAACTGTCCTACCAATTTGGTTTGAAACTGTCTCATTGCTATTTGTTTCTCAATAAAATTATGGGGAAAAAGTTATAGAGCTATTCTTGCTGATATGGGAACAAGTCAAAGAATTCTAATGAGTTAGGGGATAAAGAAAGATAAAACTAGATGTCCAGAGTGATTCTTTTTGTTTTCTAAAAAAAAAATAACTGCCGCTAAAATCATTAGATGAAAGATTGAAAGGAACCTTTATAATGGATGGATCAAGCTGATAGCACTTAGAGCCACTAGTGGATCTCAGAGTTGCTAGAAATGGCATTGGCACGTGTACCTTCTAATATGCCATCTATGAAAGTCTTAAAAATGTAGGCAAGCCTCTCACTACCAGTTTATTGGAAACACAATATTTTTTTAAACCATTAAACACAGCAAAGGGAAGAAATCGACCAAAGTCTAGAATGAGGGAATTCCTCTGGGCAAATGACCCAGTTTCCTCAACAGATAAATGGTGTTTTAAAATGGGAAGGGATTGTGGATTAAAGAAACAGACATGAAGACCTAGATAGATAGACAGACAGATGACAGACAGATAGATAGAAGCAAGGTATGAAGTTTATTTTTATCCTCTTTAAACAAAACAAAGGTCAAAGACACCTTTGAGATCATTGAGGAAATCCTGATTGTAGCCTAGGAGCTCAAATATCAAGTAACAAGTGTTGCCGTGTCAGGTATGACAGTGGAATTGTGGTTATTTCTTCAAAGTCCTTATCTGTTAGAGATATACACAAACATGGACATATTTCTAAGCAAATGGAAATGATGTCTGGGATTTGCTTTAAAGTATTTGAGGGGGAAAAAAGAAGGGAGTGGGAAGAATGGTATGAATAAATGAAGTAAACAAAAAAACATATCCTATTTGCTTGCAAATTTTCTGGAAGCACAGCCAAGAAAGCACTAAACATAACTGAAGAAGTATGGATTAAAAGGAATCAGAATGGTGAAACCTGTGTTTTTCTTTTCTTTTTCTACTTTTCGAATTCATCCCCCATGACACTGCAAGAGCCACCCTTGAGCTACAGCCCCCAGCTCTCTGTACTACTTGAATTTTCAAATGTACACATCACTTTACAGTTTTAAAAGGAAATATTCCCAAGTGCATACTTTAAGATAATCTCATTATTTATTTATGGAGCCAAATGAGTTTCTACATACAAAGAAACACTTAAAATGGATGGAACCAGAAAGGTTCTCAAACAATGATAGGAAATCCCAAAAATGAGCTTTTACTAATACAGGAATAAGTATTACTGGTTACCTTAACCAATCAAGTGGAGAATCCTCTAACTAAAAAGATGGCTTTAGAAGTCTACTTGTGATGTGTCTGATCACAAACATTTCCTTTTTTTGATGGGGAGTGGGACATAAGGATTTCTTTTTATTCAAGGAAAAGCACAACCTGTAGAGGCCAATAAGCAATCACTTTCATTAACCCTCTGGCTGCCCCACCATCTGTGTGTGGTGTCTGCCTCTAATGATCTGCAGCTCCTCTGCCCACTTTTGCCTTATTTTCTATATTTCATTGCCATTTTTTCTTCCCTGACATCATGGTCACAAAGCCCGCATGTTGAACAACATTTGAGAGAAAGGACTGAATCAGGCCTTTATATGAAATTATTATCATGTGCTACAGGAAACAAAAAATGACAGGGACATCTATTTGGGGTGATAGGAACATTGATGTAATAAGTAAGAGCTACACGAAGAGGCTGCCACTGATCCCCATCATCAGGAAGTATTTCCTAAATTGGTTAATTTTGTAGATCCAAATGAGAAAAGGAAACATGAGATGCCCTTTGCTGGCCAGGAATGTCATGGTGCACCAAAGGATGGCAATGAAAAGGTATGAACTAGGAAAACCACCAGTGTCAGACTGTGGCTCTCCCAGCAGCTTGTCTTGCCTAACACGACCAATGCACTTCCATTTCTTTCTGTCATCTCTTAGCCCCTGCCCTAATCGCCAATTCTGTATTTCAAGTGTATTACAGAATACACTACATTAAGCTCTGCCTGTTAGTACTTCATATAAATGTATTTCATTTTGGAGCTATGCTCCCTTAATTTTAATTAATGCCAAAATACACATGAATTGTGCACAAATTAGATTGAACAGGGAAAATTAGAATACTCACAGTAAGAGGAAACTAACTGTAAGAAATGTGGTCAAACAACTACTCCTGTAAGTATTCAGAGTTGTTAACTGACTGTAGCAGGATAAGAAAAAGACGGAAGCCAAGCAATAAAAGTCACTAGAAAAGTGACTCACTTTCAAATTGGGCCACTAGTATCCCTGGTAAGATCTGCATTTTTATTTATTCAAGAAGAATTTCAAAACCAGGCATGGTACATGCGTTTTTATTTACTCAAGGAAGAATTTCAAAGCCAAGCACAGTACAAGCATGTTATCCCAGTACTCAGGAACCCGAAGCAAGAAGATCACAGATTCAAGGTTGGTCTGAAGTGAGTTCAAGGCCAGTCTGAACTACCCAGTGAGACTCTGTCTCAAAAAAAGAGGAAAAGAAAAAGAAGAAATTTCTATATTTTAGTGAGCTACTTGCCATTGTATACAATATCCTTAATTACTACAGAGAAGGAGGAAAAATGCTTTCTATTTCCTATGCCAGACTATTTTCAGGAAACTGACAGCTGTAAATTTCACTCAAGTTTAGAGTCCCGGAAATGGGACCAATTCCTTAGAATGAGCCATACCTTCGTGAAGCAACAAGTCCACAATCTTCCTAACTTTACCTACATTACAACTGGTCCCGTTGATAAACAGCTTTCCCTAAACATATCACTAGCTAGTTAGAATCACTGCAAACAAAACTAAATTCCACCAAATGCTAATAGACCCAGTGGGACAGAGTTGTTAATTTGCTTCTTTGGAGAAAACATGTTCTCCTCTTTATAGGCAATAACATTATTGGAATAAAAGAGATAATGAATGCATATAAAACACCTTTCACACAGTAAATGAAACCTCTTGGTAATGGCAGCTGTTTTACTCATAGTTGTGACAGTAAACCATAGACACAGCCTTCAAAGCGGAAAAGCCACCATCCCAGCAGATGTAAATTGAGACAACTGACATCATATGACAAGGACACAGCGCATGCACTGGCCTGACAAAGGACTTGGTCCATGGAACCATGAGGATATAAAAAAAAAAAAAAGGAGTCCAGGGTGCTATTTGGGTAGGGTGTGCTGAGCCCGATCAAACTTTTGACAGCCAAATTCAGCCCAGCAGGGAAAAGATGGGAGGGAAGCAGACAGGGTTAAGTGGCTGCAAGGCCTTCGCTGGGTCTCTTAACACCTAAGATTGAGCTGGGTTCAACATGCAATTCAAGCACTGCCTGCTCTACTTTAATGAGATACAGTGAAAACCAAAAAAAGGCTGAGCTGAGCGCGTAAAGCAAAATGAGGGCCTGAAATGGAAGGCAAAGACGCAGGAGGCTGCCGAAAAGCCCCAGCGAAAGTAGGCTGGCCATGGGTGAGTTCCCCTCACTCCGTAGGCCAACACAAGCCCGAAGAAATGGCTGTCTGCGCGGACAGATCGAGCACCTGCACATCAGCCTGAGCTCACAGCAGCTTATGCTAAAAACGCAATCACTGTGTGGCTACATCGTCAATAAGATGCAATAGTATACAGTGAATGATTTACAGCAGATACGTTCTACTGCAAACAGTCTTGGGAAACTTGAAAAAGCCACATATTTTACTTCAAAAGTAGAAACCAGAAAAATGTGTTGTTTTGTGTAAATACACAAATAGAGTTAGGAAATAAGCAGTAACTAAGCAGAAGGGACTTTAAGCAAGGAGTCCCGGAGGAGATGCCACCCCAGCTCTGTTTACAGGTGAGGAAACTATGGAGGCTTGGGAAGAGGCCTTCTGCTACTTTATTAATGGTAGGCTAGGATTAGAGCCCATCTCCGTATTTCCAGTTTGATGTTTCACTCTTGTCTATATAGAAATCCATGAAGCAATAAAAACAAAAGCTCGTTAGGCTTAAAACATGGAAAAATATAGAAGCTTAGATATTTTTAAATGAATGTAATTGCTTTGTAGCTTTCAAGTCAAATTTTATCTTGTTAGATACTATAGTGTATGACACTTTGCAGAAAATCAAGATCATTTTCAAGTTGGTAAATGCACACATTGAGCCGATCATACATACAAGGAGCTCAAAACGCCAGGAGGCCTCGGAGGTGCATATCCATGCATCATAAATCAGCGCTATCGTCACTTTAGATTTTTTAATTCTGTTGCTGCACATCTGTATCGAGTAACTTCTTTTCTAGCAATATGTGTGGATTTAAGACCTTTTAATGGGATTTCTTGGACATGTACCTCAAGTTCTACTTCAGAGCCAGAGCACTAACAACCAAAAGGGTATCATTTGTTAGCGATGGATATCGATGGGTTTATCTGTAGTTACTGATGCTGACATTATCAAAGAGCATTTCAGCAAGTATTTGATAAAACCAAGAAGGAGATCTGGTATCAACACCTGGGCTAATTTTAAATCACTCCGAAAATATGACTGGGATCAGTAGTAGCAGTTCAGAATCTCGGTAAAAAAAAATGGATTTGCCGAACAAGTTCATGTATGTGATCATTCTCAGATTAAGGCTATAAGGTGGAGCTCATGGGAGCTCGAGAAAGTTCAACTCCTTCTCTAGACTTTCTAGGATTTTGTAATTAACTTTAATAACATCTCATAAACATGAAAAGAAGCAGCAGCCAGAAACCCGTCTGGACTAACCTAGGAAACAGACTTAGTTCTCAGTTGTGTGAGCTAGGTTACTGCGACGTATATTTAAATTTCATTTAGTACAATAAGATGTTTTGGAGACTGCCTCTGGGAAATACTCTGTCATTTCTTTTAACCAGGAGCCTGGCATCTTGGGACTCTTGTTGCCTTCTACAAAAAACTTTGTCTCAACAATAAAAACCATTTATTTTATTCTTAGCCGCAATAGAACAGGAGCTTCAAAGAGAATTGAGTCAATGTGTGACATTTATCTTTATAGCTCACAGACATCATCTCGCCTCTATCATGTCCCTTTTCAGAGGAGCAGTATAGCATGTGCTGGTGGTGCAGGGTCACATGAAAGAAACCTGCTCTTCGAGTGTCACGTCTCTCTGGCAGGGCGGAAAGGCTATCAAGTGGTGGACTGTTAGGGAATTGAATACACCACAATCTGGCAACAACAAAATCCCGTTCAAAAAAAGAAGAATAAGACCAGACCTGAAAGACACTTTTTTTTTTATGGTTTGGACTTCGCTTGACCTAAAGAAAGTCAAAGCAATGCTAGTATCTAAATTACTCAAGACAGGATCAACTTCCCCAGCACACAGTTCTTTGGAACTCTAGAATCAACTTTACATGCCCTTTTTTTTCCCAACATTTTGAGAAATAGCTTTTAAAAAATTAAAAGGTAAAAACAGAGTGCTGTGCTATTTATTTTGTGGCTTTTGTTGGGGTTCAGGGCAGAATGCAGGGGATGTTACTTGTTTATGGAAGTCATTAGGCGATAGAAACTCCCTGCTGTAAGAAGCCAGCCTACCTACTTGTTCTGAATTAAATTGAGAATTTTTTTCCTTAGGTAAAGGGAAAAACAATAATGAGAAACATTTGGAAACATGGGTGTTGGGTCTTACCACATGCCTGCAATGCATTTTAGGTAAAGTCACACCTGAATCCAGGCCCCAGGTTACCCTGAAACCGACAGTATGGAGGGGAGGAGGGGAGGGAGGAGTGAGGGGAGGAGGGAGATGGAGGAGGCCCACCTTCCCTCCCACCCCTCAGAATGCAGAAGCAGTGATCCCCAATAAATCCAAGTATCTGTTCCATGATAATAAAGATAAACACAATCAGATGTGCTATGACTCTTTTTCAACCCACAATCAAGCAGCGCTGCTGGGAAGTGAAGACGTTCACTCTGACTGCAAAGAGCACAGGCATCTGCCTGATTTCCAGTCCACGCAGCGCATAAACCGAGCTTGAACTTAGGATACAAGTACACAGAGCAAAGAAAAAAAGTTTTTGTAACATTTTTAAGGCTTCAGTGCCTCTGCTCTCTCCTCTCGCTGACTTTTACAAAATGAAGGAGTTTTTAGTACAATGACTCCATCGATGGCGCTGCCTCGGCAGGCCTTGAGTCGTGAGCAAAGGCTTATGGAAAAACTGGAAAAAGGTCAGGAGGCACAGTACCAATCAATCTGTAGGGTTGAGAGTGCCCAAATCTAAGAGATTCCTTTCTTTCATCTTTTGATTTGGACATTTTGAACATTCATTGATTAAAATATCAAGTATTTCAACAAAAGAATAAATTTAGTATAAAAAAAGCCCAATCTCTTATAGAATTCCAGGTACTAAATTCTACTGTGCACCCCTTGGGGGTGTTGGCACAGATTAAATGCATATAAACCAAAAAGAGAACAACATGTTTTCCCTTGGGTGCATCTTCTACGGCAAAACAAACAAAGACTCAACCCCGCACTGGGAGCTCATGACCCCTCTCTCATCTTCATATGCATCTAATCATCTCTGTGAAAAAAATTATATTTCACAATGCGAGATCACTTTAAAATGACAAAGCAGCTACAGTTTCCCTTTAGGAGACACGGTTGTATCAGACACTTTCCAACCTTCAGTCAACTAAAGCTTATTATTCAATTTGTATAAGCTTTCCCAAGTAACTAATGTCCAGATAAATTTACATTGTAAACACCACTCATGCATTTATTCAATAAGCAGAAACAGATAATATTCATAAAATTACACTTTACACATAGCCTCACCTCTCTCTGCTGTTACCCCTAAATGAAATTTCTGTAAGCCAGGAATGATTTATTTCATTGAAAAATTACCCAGCTCCCTTTGCTCTGCTTGCTTCCTAATTTTAGCCATTTTCTCCTTCTTTTGCCAGATGGCAGGTGAGAAGTTAGGAGAAATGAAGCTCTGAATCGATAAGCCTTTCAGGGTTTTTAGTGATACTTCAGAAGCTCAAGAATGGACAGTTTGCTACAGTCATGCAAATCTCAGATACCCATTTTCCTAATTCTAGTCTGTTTTTTACAGAAGTTTAAAGTAATTATCATTACAGTACAAGGCTTATTCAGCTATTTAAATGGAAAGCTGTCACAAATATATCAAATTATTCTTAGCTGTGATCATTCAGTCAAGTATTTGCCATTCTAAGCACTCCTCAGCAACATTTGGGCAAATAACTGAAAGCTGACTAGTCTGACAGAACTCATGGCGTTGATACGGGTGAGGAGTCACATGGTCTACCTCTTGCTCCAGTCTGGCAGTACATCCTTGAGAGGCTACCGAAACCCTGTACCTCTGCCCCCAGGAACACATGTTTAGCATGCACACAATTTTTAAACAAAACAAGTGCATGGGTGATGATGATGATGATGATGTTTCCATTATGAGAACTCAAGTGACTAAACCTTTCCTTGGCCAATTAACTGTGAATACCGTACCAAGTTTTAATGCCCTATAATGCTCCAGCAATGTGACAATCCAGAATGCTCTAAGCATGTGACAGTGACTTCTTCAAAAAGACCACTGCCACCACTAGAAAACACACAATTCAAATTTTCCACATCTACCTTCCTTCAGAATCTGATTGGACTTGAACAACATAAAAGCATTCGCTCAGATTATGTTTGAGCGACAATAGTATTTTATAGTTCTTGTATGACAAGGAATTATAGAAGAATGGGATAAGCAAAAGGTTTAAATTCCACAAAAAAGTAATAAAGATGCTAACAAAAAAGTACATACTGTGATAAATTAGAGCAGAGTAGTTACTGATTATACAAAAGTCTATTTGTGATCGAGGCAGCAGGACTCTCCCTTGTCCACTATTTCAAAAGCAGTGTTTTTTTCCCTCTGTGTTCAGTGACGCCCTGAACTCTGTGACAAAGATGCTTTGATCTTCTCCTATTAAATATATCTGGTAGGGACCTTGTCTGAACTTGGTAAAGAAAAAAATTCTGTATGAAAGGGAGGGAGTACTGTATGCCTCTAAGATTATTCATTACCTTTCAAAAATGAAGCTATTTGTGAAGTCTTTGTGCAACACACACATGAAAGACTACTACACTGCTTACTTATTTTGTTGTGCTCTTGCTGTTTTTATTCCTGCCTCAGCTCAGACAGGGAACTCGACTGAAATAGGCGATGAATAAGAAGACATGGCAGGGCCCAGTCTGAAAGACTTACCCAATGATTGAAAGAAAAGACGCCATACCTGAATTCGAGGGTTTTGAGACTCTTCCCTTGGGAACTGGGAGTAACAATAATTCCAAGGACTGTGGTGGTGGCGGTGGAGGAGGAGGAGGTGGTGGTGGAGGTGGTGGGGTTACTTTTTCTGGCTTCTTCTCAGAAGATGGCGGTGGCAGAGGGTCCTCGGGCAGTAATGATGACTTCTCAGCCAAGAGATTGCCGGCGGCCCTAGCTGCTACCTCCTTCAGAAGGGCAGCCGAGGAGGTCATGGAAGCCAATGACAGGAAGGAGCTGGCCGGAGGGGGATGCTCCTGACCAGGAGTCAAACTTCTCTCACTGACTTTCTTGGACAGAGCTGCCAAGGTAGAACTGGCAGACTGGGAGCTAAAGGGGGAGGAAAAGGATTCAAATCTCATGGTCTCCTCCGTCCGGGTGAGAGATTTGTCCTGCAGAACGGCATTGGCTGCAGCTTTCAGTTTGAGAATGGCTGAATCCGGGGACAAGCCACACGTGGTGGATGAGTTCGGCAGCCACTTACCTTGGTTCCATATAAAACGGTTACTTGGAGTGTACTGGTCATTCTGTTCCTGCTTCTCAGCCAACTTCCTGGCCAGAACACTGAGCTGCTGGGCATGGTGGGAGGGCGGGGAAAAGGAGAGATTGGAGCCAGCGTTCACAGGAGACTCCACTCTGCCATTGGCAGTGGCTGTGGCGTCAAGTTTGAGGGAACCAGCCTCCAGCAGCCGCCTCAGGTTGCTGCTCAGGGGTTTATTGGAACCTGGCGGGTCATCTTCACACAAAGAAGATACTCCCGGGGAAAGGTGGTCTTGACACTGCAGGGAGTCTCGCAGACTGTCACCATCGAGGGCCACCAGCTCCAGTGTGTGGCTGCTGGGAGTCGCACTTCCCAAGGAGGTGTCGGGGGAAGTAGACTGCTCCTGGATCCGGTCCTCCAGAGACAGCTTATAGTTCTCCTGAACCTCTCCATAGGATGCTTCTGACGGGGTCTCAGAAGAGTTTCCATACCAGTGTTCCCCTTCACTGAGCTCCGCCTCCGCCTCTTCCTGCCTACTAACATCTGGGGGGAATTAAGAAGACCAGGTTTACTTTCAAAGTGAGCAACCAGTTAGGAGCAAGACATTCAAAGGGAGCTGATATCACCTCTTCCCTTCCACCCAAGAACCAGATGACACACAGCAGCAATACAGCAGAAGGTCAGGCAAATAACAGAAAGGTAAACACGCTAAGCAAGCAACACCCACATACCTCCTATACGAGTCTGTCCAGTAGTTATTCAGAGTAAGTGGAATTGGAAAAAGAGACAAGAATAAAAGGGACCTGCTAAGGAAGCGGCTGGATGAAAACCTTTGCTATTTTTTTTTTTTTTTTTTTTTTTTTGGTAGAATCGGTAATTGAACAGAGGCCCTTGCACTTGCCAGGGAAGCGCTTACTCTACTGAGCCATCTCCCCGGCCTCAATGCTATTTTCACTGAGAAACAGAAATAAACTTGAACCTAGCAAAAAAGAAGCACAATACAGTATCTTTAGGGTAGTTTCTGGGACAGAGTACTGTCTAGAAGAACATAAACCCTAAGACACAGGCAGTGGGAAGCCTCTTCCCACCTTCCAACGCCATGATCTCAGGATGGTCACTTATTTGGCATTAGACACTATTTCCTCCAACGTAAGAGGCAATTAATTTTGAAAAATGTTTACTGAAATACGTAAACAATGCCTGCCGAACTCACTTTACAAAGTTATTAGGAAGCTCGGTGCCTGAGGAGCACACAACATGTTTGGAAAATAGTGAAGCACTCGCAGAAATCAGATCTCAGCAGCCAACAGTATGTGCCTTGCTAACCCTCGCCGCGATGACATGTCCTGTGTTACACATGCTACTTGTTGGAGAGTCTACAGTTTCAGTCACCAGCACGCTCACCACGTTGTCACAGACATGGATTAGGGATTTATTCTTTCACTTCACTAAGACACCTATCGTGCTATTTTCTCTTAATGCATCTATTGATCTGCCACTTCCACTCCCAGGTCCCCCCCACACCAGCTGAGTGGGGCTCCCTGCCACCCAGGAGCACCTGTGACCCTGCACTCTGCCTTCTCTCCTGGTGATCCGTCTGAAAGGTCTTGCCCTGGAAAAGTTTACCATACACATCTCCTTATGGTTCAACATCTGGCTGCAAAGTTTCTCCCTTGCAGTCCTCCCTGGATGGCTGGGCATGGGGGCACACATGTACAGTCCCAGTGCTCTGAGACAGTGAGGCAAAAGAATCACAGGTTTGAGCTCAGCCCGGGCAACCTCGGGACTTAACAAGAACCTGTTTCAGAGCTAAAGGGGGAGAGGGGCTGAGGATGCGGCTCAGTGCCAAGGCCCTGGGTTCAACCCCTACTACTACTCAAAGAAGAAAAAAAAAAAAGGAATTCTCCCTAGAACTGTCAGTCACAATGAATCCCTCCTCATTCATCCACCCCCTCACTCAAGAAATAGGGAGCACTTATTTGCTGCATGGCAGGTATTGTTCTAGATCGGTGGTGGCAAACCTACAGCACGTGTGTTATGTGTTCTTCTATTAAGACAAAAGATGCTAATGTATGAGCTCTTCTTTTCTACCTTAAATTTCAGTATTCACATTTAACTGCAATGTTTGACACTTTGCAATAAATAAGTGGGTTTTCAGTTACGTTTGAACACTCCTTTCTAGAAGGTTCCCAGTCAGTGTCTAGGTGGTCTAGACTGTTCAAGATTCAAGACTGAATGGCACAGAACAAAAAACAAAGGGCCTGCCTTCTTCAGGTTTATGTTTCAGTGGAGGGAGACAGATGTTCAGCTAAACTGGTTAAGTCATAAGGTAAGTAAATCATATAGCACTTATGCAAGTATTGAGGAAAAACTGCAGAGCAAGACCAGGGAGGATGGAGGTGATGGGTAGGGGCAAGTTGTAATTTTAAATATTACGGCCAGGGTGAGGCTTCACTGAGGTGGTGATATTCAAGCAAAGGCCTGAAGGAAGGCAGGAGCTCTGCTCCATGGAGAGGGGGAGTCAGTGTGCTGGTCCCCACGTGCCCACGGAACAGCAAAGTAGTCAGTATGCATACAGTGGAGTGAGGGAGGGCCACAGCAATGGGAGAGGAGGGCAGAGTGTGTGTGGGGTGTGTATGGGTCTACTGTGGTGCAGACAAGTAAGACATTGTGAAACAGTGACAGGTCTTCTGCATCAGGCAAAATCAGGAACCACCCAAAGGTGCCAGGCAGCGGAGTGATATGACTTGGGTCAGGCTGTCATAGGGCTGTTCTGGCTGCTGTGTGGGAAATGGCTAGCAGGTACGAGGGTGAGGGAGACCGCTTAGGAGGCTGGAATCCAGGTGAGGGGCAGTGGAGATGCCCAGATGACTGTAGGTGCTGAAAAGTGACCACATGCTACGCAAATTTTGAATTCACAACAAACATCCTCATGTTTCGTTCCTGTTGACTTTATACCCTGGGAAAATGTCAGTTAATGGCTTCTCTTTTCAAATGGAACTCCTGGAGGACAGGGACTTTTCTCCATCCTCCACACTGTGTGTATTAGTACACTGCCTGGTTTCCAGTAGAGTTCAATGACTGTTTAGAGATTGAGTCAAATTCCTCATTGTGCTAGGTTTTGCCATAGAACAAACATAACAAATCTGTTTCTTCACAGAACAGAAATAGCTAGAACTAGTAATGTATGAACTACAAGGTAATCCATTGATCTTCCCATGCTATTTAGAGAAGAAATGTCACAAATGACAAATTCTCTTTCACTAAGCTAAAGTTTTGCAACTCCTTTTTGAGATTCTTTATTAAGTTATAAAAAAAACCTCATAAAATATCAAACAGAATTTGCTGGGGAAAAAGCAGGTAAAATTGAATTTTCTCTGTTAAAAACAGTCTGGTTCCTTGCAATTTGCCACATTTCCCTCTACCCACTTGATTTCAACATTTTTTATCCCTCCTGAAATCGGCAGCGACCTCATCTCCCCAATGGCTTTACAGAGGGATGCTTTTAAGCTAAGACCCCTCAGTCAACATCAATTTCAACAATAAGGCTAATTCTACGTTTCCTTAGCAAACCACCTTTCTGGATTTCCGATTAAATATCCCATCCTTCGAAAGAACTGAATGGGCATTCTATAAATAGGAAGAGCAGTAAAAGGTCTAACAATCACTACAGTAAGAATTAGCTTAGTATCTCTTCTTTGCTCTTTATTGGCATTAAAGGAATGAATAGGAAAATATATGACTCAAAATTAAATATTTTTAGATTATATTTTTGTTATCCTAGATCTAGATAGTCAAAATTGGTCCTCAACCAATCCAGTAAGGGTCAACGAACAAGGCACATAAAATCAGGGTTTTGAGAACCTTAAAAAATAACTACAAACACAGATCTGATCATGCCATTTTACTGAGACCATTAAATGTGCTAAAGGTTACTGGCTAAGGGCGGGCCAAATAGCTCAGCTGATTAAAGCGCCAAAAAGAAGGTGCAGGGGCTGGGAGTTTGATCCATGGGCCTGCTGTGCCGGCCCAACCCCCAGGGTGAGCTGAGAGGACAATTGATACTGGGTGTGGTGGTGCACACCTGTAATCCCAGCTCTTCGGAGGCTGTAAACAGGCAGATCACTACGAGTGAGACCCTGAAGATCCTCCCCTAAAATATAAAAATTAAAAATTAAAAAATGAAGGTTACTGGTTAAATCAAAGCCACACAACCACCTAGTGCTAATGCCAGACTGGGAACCCAAAAATCTCTTGGCTGGGAGTTTTCTCTTTAAACCAGTACAAAGCTTACTCTACTCAGAGGCCTCCAGCCCAGGCTCCAACTACCAGGCCACTTCTAGGAAGCAGCAGCCCTCCCGTCCCACCCCCAGCCAGCCTTCCTTCCCTTCTCTTAAATCAGAAATCAGCAAGGGATTCTCCTGGATAAGGGCAGTTTCATACCTTCTCTTTAGACAAATCACTAAAAGATGAGGCCTCACTAATCCCGTGCTCTGTAATCTCCCCATTTCCTTTTGCCTCTGCTTTATTGTAGTGGTCAGAAGTTGATTCCATTACCTAAAGTCTCAAAGGCAAAGCTTAAAGTCCTAAAACCCCTTCCATACCCTCAGGGACCAGGAGGACTGCAGAAGTGCTGCAGGTGAATGTGCAAAGGCTGATGAAGCTGTTGATTCAGACTCCAATCCAATGATGTATGATGCAAATAGCTAAAGCCAAGTGTCAGGGGGCTCTGACAAGCTCACCAAAATATAAATGAGTAAACTGAGTAGCCTATTGAACAAAATGGGAGGGATAGGGTGATAACTCAAGGGCTTAAGTGCCTGCCTGGAAAGTGCAAGGTCCTGAGTTCAATCTCCAGTACCAAAAAACAGAATGGGTAGTTGGGCATGTGACACATTCCTACAACCCCAGCTACTCGGGAAGCTGAGGCAAGTTTAAGCCTAGACAAATTTAGCAAGGCTCTGTCTCAGAATAAAAATGGCAAAGGTTGTCACCCTCTCCTGCCCAGGCATGAGGGGCTGGGTTCAATCCCCAGTACAAAACAATAACAAAACCATTTATGGCTCCTGAAATACCTGCCTGTATGTCTCAACCACCAATTCTTCTTCATTCTTTGCAGACATAATCATGAGATACACACTCCTCTAGACTATCAAAAAACGCAAATACGGGTCAGACAAATAGCTCAGTGGATTAAAGCGCCTGCAAGCAGGTGCAGGGGCTAGGGGTTCAATCTCTGGACCTGCTGTGCCAGCCCCGCCCCTGGGGCACGCTCAGACCGCAATTGAGACTGTGCATGGCGGCCTGCACCTGTAATCCTCTAGACCCTTCCCTAAAATACAAAAAAATAAAAAATAAAAAAATAAACCGTCAAATACAAGAGCTGGTGACATAGCTCAGCGGACTAAGTGTCTGCCTTGGCAAGAGCAGAGACCAGGGTCCAATCGCCGGTCCCACATGCCATGCCAGCCTTGCTGCTGGGGTGCATTGAGCAAGTGAATGAGTCCGGGTGTGGTGGCACACGCCTGTAATCCCAGAGCTGA